ATGCTGTTGGAGCCATGGAGAGCCTAATACTAAGGGAAGTAATGGGGTCTCCAGGAGGTAAAACCAAATGTCTCCAACATGGGTGGTGCCATTTTGCAACCTTAAGAGATTAGTTTACCATTTTATAAGTCCTGGAGAGACTGGGGAACCATCCAAAGATTGCACACAAAGAGGGGGAATTACCTGGGTCAGGGGTAAGTTCAAAGTATGAGCAATAGAGGCATCTATGAAGTTCCCTGCTGCCCCTGAGTCAATAAATGCAAGAAGAGGCATATGTTTATTATCCCAGGATAGCATAGATGGAATAAAAATCCTGAAGCAAATTGAGAAGAATTAGTAATCTCACTTACTTTAGGATCTTGGGTGGCTGGGGGGCACCTCAGTGATGAGTATAATGCAGGGCAGGCGACTCCGAAATACCCTAATTTCCCACAGTACATACAATAAACCTCTAGACAGCATCTCTCTTTTTCTTCCAGGGTTAACTTGGTGTGAGCTACAGTATTTCCATTGGTTGTTCTGAGTCTAGGGTTCTAGTAGGTGGTTGCCAAGAAACCTCAAGCATTCGTGTCCAGGATCTTTCATGACCTCTTTGACGGATTCTGACCTTTAATTCAATCACCTGGGAAATTATGACTTCTAAGGTTCTGCCTGACAGCGGCATTGTTACCAAGTGATCTTTTATTTCCTCACCTCATCCTTGCCGAAAGAGAAAAATAAGGACTTCATCATCCCAGTGAGTCACAGCCGCGGCTACCCAAAAATCAATAGCATATTCCTGCACCGACCTGCGGCCTTGGCGGATAGATAAGAGGTTGGAGGTGGAGTCTTGTCCAGCAGATGAACAAAAAAAAAAAACCTATAATTTCTCTTGAAAGAGGTCGTAATCCTGTACCTCAGAAGCCCAGCGATCTAGCAAGGCAGTAGCCCATTCCAGAGCGCAGTCAGTGAGCAAAGAAATTATAAAAGCTATATTTTCCTGAGATGTTGGAAAGGTTTCTGATGGAGTCTAAAAACAGAGAGCAGTGTGCTAAAAAGCCCCGACACTTGGTGGGGTTGCCGTCAAACCTGTCAGGTGGGGTGAGTGGTAGAGGTTGAGACGCAGGTGTGGCCAGTGGCATGGGCGATGCAGATATGTCTGCTCCAGTATTTCTAGTGGGCTGCATAGCGGACAGGTGTGCTGAGATCTGCTGGACAGAAATCTGTAACTGGATTAAAGCTTGCCAGTGTTGATCTAAAATGAATTTCCTCTTGCTCCACTGGGTCCATGTTATTAGGCTCAGTATTCTGTTACAAGTCCGGCTAATAAAACCAAAACTAAGATATAAACCCTAATGTGGGATCTGGGAAATAATCCTGCAAAAGATCTTTTCCGCAATTCAAAAAAACTCAGTCAAAAGGGGAAGCCAGTAATCCTAAATTCGAGAGAGCGTGATTGCCGAGTCAAAGCCGTAACCCGAGAGGAGACCTCAACCTAGTTGAGAGGAGAAAGCCAGAAATCTAAAACCAAGGTGTGTACTTTCCAAAGCCAAGCTGTAATCCAAAAGCCATAGGTCCAACATAGAAAAGCAGTTCCAAGCCAAAAAGGTGTAAACGAGAAAAAGCGTAAAGCAGTAATGAAGCTCATATGGAAAACCAATACTGAGCCAGGAGGTTAGGGAAGACTGTGCTTAAGTATATAATGAGATTGAGGTGTGGTGGTGAATAAGTGATCTGATAGATGGCCTAATTCAGCATGGTCTATGCCTTCTTCTGCTAATTGAACTCCGTTGCCGGGAAGCGGGGATCGCATCACTGCCCATCTTCCATATACTTTCCTCCCCTCTGATAAGTAGTTGTGAGATGTGTGAGCTAAGTACTTTGATTTTGAAATTTTTGTGTAGCTCATTGTTATTTTATCTGGGCTCACTTTGTATTATTTGCATATATATATAATTACTGGTGTGCATTATGTTGGTATGCACAGATGTGTTCAGGGATGGTTTTATTGGCTCTATGTTGAATATTTGTATAGATTTGTATGGATATTTTAATTAAACTAAATTTCATGCAACTGGCTATTATGGCAATACTATATTGAACCTGAAGATTTGTTTTTTAACCAATCCTTGCAGATCATTCCTTTTAACCCAAGAAAATACTTGGTCACTTCTCTGGACCAATTCAACAGCCACAATCGTATTAAAAATGGTACACTATTATAAATGGGGGTTTTATGTACATTGGACAATCTAAATAATATCCTTTAATTTAAATTCTGTGGATCTAACTATATATCCTGAGACTATTTGCCTCTTACTGCTTTCCTGACATTCTCTGGTGGATGTGAATGTCACCAGCAGCCATATCAGCCATATCATGACCTCCTGGGAAAAACAAAGGTTTCTGCTGGAAGAGGTGTTAGTGGGGCCAGCAGGGGGGCGCTCAACTTGCGGTCCATGTAGGTCCCAATGCCCCAGTATAATGATGGGGACATTATACTGTAAACAGGCACCGTCCTTTGGATGAGACATAAAACCGAGTTCCTGACTCTCTGTGGTCATTAAAAATCCCAGGGCGTTTCTCGAAAAGAGTAGGGGTGTAACCCCGGCGTCCTGGCCAAATTTCCCATTGGCCCTTACCAATCATGGCCTCCTAATAATCCCCATCTATGAATTGGCTACATTAATCTGCTCTCCTCCCCACTGATAGCTGATGTGTGGTGAGCGTTCTGGCGCACTATGGCTGCCGTCGCATCATCCAGGTGGATGCTGCACATTGGTGGTGGTGGAGGGGAGACCCCATTACCTGTAAAGTGCTTTGAGTGGAGTGTCCAGAAAAGCGCAATATAAGTGTAAGCAATTATTATTATTATTACTTACACACTGTCAAGGGAGCTGGTTCTGACTCCTGTGGAGTGTGTTAATAAAGACCCTATGTGGATGGTAGAATCTGTAAATGACAACGGAGGACGGTGCAACGGGGTTCGGATGGGTTGACAAGACAGGGGGCGGTGACGGTAGTGAGCAGGTGCACGGGTGAAATGCGGAAGCAACCAAGTCCAAGGAAGTCCAAAAAGGAAAGTCGGGGCGCAGTCCATAATCCAAGCACCGGGAGATCCATCCAAGACAAACAGTCAAAAATGGGAACCAGGTCGGAACCGGCACAGGAACAGGAACTAAAAACATAACGGGACCAGGGACCAGGCGGTCAGGACGCCGGGAAAAGGCCTGCCTTCGGACAACCTGGAAAACAGGCAAGCCTTGTGGCATCCATCTTCCAATATTGAGACAGGAACTGCAGAGATGCTAGCCTTTTAACCAAAAACCAGAAGAGACACACCAGGAAATAATAGAAACTAATCATAACAGAAAGGGGTAGGAGTGCCCTCTAGAGGAGGGATGTGGAACGTAACACACACACCTATGTCTTTTTCATAGAAAGCATCTTGAAGCTCAGTTCATCATTTTATTTGTATCTGCCAGGTGTTTGTTCATTCCAGAGCTCTACCTTGAATTTCATTTGCACATTCTATGCTGTGTGCTATCAGTCTTACTTAAATTTTTCCGAATAAAGTTCAGGCAATATTTAAAAGACAACTGAAGAACTAAAACTGTGATGCCTCATAGCAAAAACAACTCATTGCAAACAACATCCTGATTTTCATGAAAGAATTTCTGGTTTCATCAGTGTTGCTCCAGGTTAGCTATTGAACTGTTGCTCCAGTGTTGCTCCAGGTTGGCTATTGAACTTTCACTAGACAGTATTCATACAGTAGTTGCCATTTTCTCTATATTCAGTAAATTAACAGATCTGCAGGTTCTCAGGTCTCAAGGTCTGCAGATAAATACCGTCTACAAAGAAAAACCTCAATATGAATTATTAGCAGCAGTGAGGTGATCAAGTAAGTGTTAAAACTGAAGATCCCAGATTGTTTTATGGAAAAAAACTGGTAAAGCCATGGTTGTATCAGGTATTCTAGTTCCAAAAGAGGGCAAATTAACGCAAGGCAGTCCCCGGAAATGGATCTCAAAAAATGATTATTGACATTCCTGGTCAAAAGTGTAACACTGACAGAATTTCATCAATTAATATTATTTAAACCAGTCCTCCAAATGCTCAGCACAAAGAGATCAGCAGATTTCAGGATGTACTTGGGTCTATTGGAGATGATATTGTGATTATATATAATAAAAACTACTAATGATTCAGAACATCATGCCAACTATACAGAAATAATTATATAGAAAAGAAAATTGATATCACAATAGCTGAATTCATCATATACTGTACAGAATTTTTATAATGAAGTCTTATAATGAAGTAGGCAAACCACTTACTAACTACAATTAGAGACCAGTTTTGCCTTGAAGGGGCCACGTTTTTTCCATCAATTCAACTGGCACCTGCAGTCATTGCGAAAGAGAAAGCTATTCAAAAGAAATCAGATCAAGCAAGATCATATTCGATGGCTGTACTGATGGTCGCACTGACTTAACATTCCCCAGATGTTAGCGCTAAATCTATGTTATATATTATAGACGTATATACAGTGAGAGACGCTTGAAATTAAACAAATGTTAGTTCCATTCTTAGTGTCAGACTGTGAAAAAAATCTTCAGGCTTGCTCACTTAATCAGGCTGCATTCAAGGTGTTCTTTGAGATTCTGACATTTATAAAGAAACAGTAAGTATATGTCTGCATGTCTGTCAGCAAGGCCATGTAACAACAATCTACTTCACCACCACCACCACTAATAATAATAATAATAATAATAATAATAATAATAATAATAATAATAATAATAATAATTCAGGTATATTATGTCAGGGACACTGTTAATTGTTTTTAATTGTTTTGAACTGTCTCTACAGTCTTCGTTCATGCTTTCAACACAGAGCTGCAAAAGACTGCCACGATTTTTGACTCAGCTCTTCAAACGTTTGACTGCGGACCTACTGCAGCTATCACTGGCATCTCTGCTCAGATGTGTTCATACTAATAGGTTTCAGTGGCGTCGCATTCGTCCAATAGCAGCCACATGAGCGCCGCTCCACCACCACCACCACGGCGTCTGTCATCATCTAGTATCCAATAGAAGAATCTGTCTGTCGGGCTTGTTTGTCTAGCGGTGCGGTGCTGACCCAGGTGTGTTTTGCAGAGATTTCACGGACAGACGGTCCACAAGATCAGGTAAGAAAACGGAAACATGAAAATAAAATTGAACTCAAGTTGTTATTGTCACGGCGGCAGACAGTCTCCTTATTAATATGTAATGCATAAACCTGTCAGTTGGGTTACCGCAATGCAGACCGTGCATTACAACAGCTGTCCGTACCTCCTTTCACTTGGCATTCATAGACTCGTTTGCACTGGAAAAAAATAAAATGTTTCATATGTTTAAAGTAAAATTGTACTGACGTAACATTTCTCTCAAGACACATATGCGCGCATATGTTGAGATTTTTTACATACAGTAGATACACCTTGCATGCACTAACACTAGTTTTGCTTTTTTGCTTTTACCGCTGTAAAAATCTGCATTTCAGCTGGATAGGCTTCTCTACTTGTATTTGAAAAAAGAAGCAGTTTCCACAATTACACCTATCCAAGATTCATTGTAATCGTGTAGAAGGGGAAAACGGCGAAAACAAACAGGCTGTGTGAGTCTAGAACCTATTTCCCCGGCAAAAAGCTAACGAAATGCAATGAATATTTTTTTTTCGCATGTTAGAATAAACCGTAAATATCTCATGGTCATGTGATTTTAAATGAGATAACTGTGATTTTTTAAGTGTCACGGTGAATGCCAGTTTCAGACAAAAAGGTCGAATACGAGGATGCATGCGAGTGGACTGTAAACGCTTTAAATTGCGGTCTTCTCCGTTTCTGGTGCTAAAGGATGCAGAGGACAGACTTACTGTTAAGTAGTAAAGGCTGTAGAATGTCAATGGGCGTGGCTGTCTAGTAAGCGGTGGAGGCTTTTGGTTCTCCTAGCCTCTCAGCCGTGAGATATCAACGGATTCATCTGCATTTAGATTACAGCCCTGGTATAATGAAGAAAATTATACCCGTTGCTGTTAAAATAATTGCGATCTGCACACTTTTAAATGTACGAATTCATCTCGTGTTTCATATTTCTTGAGTCCTCAGATAACATCATTTGCACTGTCACACTGCGCTTTAACTAGGATGCTAAGCAAACTCTCCTTGACATGACTGTCCCCTGCTATATTTCAAAACAATATAGGAGAGTATTTGCATCTGCTGACCACATAATAATCCTAAATAAAATACTATGATGAAGAGTATGGATGCCAGTATTGTTAAGCAAAAATATTTTATGTAATGTTCTGGTCTTTTCAATAACTAAAAGTATTGTTACGTAAAAATTATATGGCCTATATACAGTATCAAGCATATTTTATTTATTTTTGAACAGAGCTGCACCTCATAACATTTATTAAGTCAATCTAAGCTTTCCATTTATGTACTGTAGCTTCAGTTTGTGAACTGAGGCTTCAGTATGGTTTAGTGTGGGCATTCTGTCCAATCATCATTAGTTTAGGCCAGGGTTTCCTACAAATCTTGGTTTCATAAATTATATTTCCTAGCTTTACAAATGAAATAGATGTTGGTGAAAATTTGGGTTGTACAATAAACCCATGTTTTCCATCTTATTAGGGTGTGCTGTTGTGAAAGAGAGACCACATCTGAATTAAGACCTTTGTAATGCTTCTCGAGATGGAGCAGTGTTGTGGAATCTAGCACTGCTGGTAAGTGCTGTGAGACCTGTTTGAGTCTCCGGTGCCTGTCTGTGCAGAGTTTACATGTTCTTCTTTTGTTCACTTGGATTTCCACTGGTTCTTCCTCTTGAGAATGTGCATGTTAGATTTGATGGTCTACTCCAAATACAGTAGTATCCCCAGGACAGTATCCACCATCAGAAGGCGTTTGATCTCCACCAACTCCTTACCCAACCATATGCTCCTCTCCCTTTCACCCTTATTGTTTTGTGTGGAATTAGACATAGTATACTGAAAGGGTTTTCTTGTCCTTTCTTCTGTCATCTTGTAGGAATGTTTATGGTCTTGCAAAACTACCAAATGTGCTTTAGAAAACCAGTTGTATGGTTTGTTATTTTGTCTATGTCAGAGAGTACTTGTAATAGATTTTCTTTTAAAAAATAATAGATTATTCAATTTGCACTCTTGGTGAATCTATGGATAAGACAGCTCACGTGCACTGATCTCTGTGAGGAATCAACATAACTACAAACCATCCTGCTGGACAGGAATATTTTAGTGCGAAATCAAACTGCAGTGGGTTAACAAGCTTGCACTTTCCTTTATAAGATGAATAACAGCAAGCACTCAGTTTAGGAAAAACAGTGCTAAGGTTTAAGGATGGACATGAAACAGCCAAATTGTGAGTGCAACAATGATATAAGATCATGTGTTATCCGATTGTTCATCAGATTCAGGTTTAATCTTTTAAAAAAAAACTTTCTAAGATGGTAAATTGCAAGTTTTGAAGAAACAACATGGATTAACAAGGATTATTCACTGTGAAATAAACTTTAATACAAAAATTAGAAACTTCACCATTAAGATTCTGAAAATTAGATACCTTAGTGGAAGGAGGAAGGCTCACATTTTCTTGTGTCCCATCCTGTAACTGATTTAAGAGCTTCTGTGGGAGGGAATCATCTAGTGCTATATTTGTGATTATTCGATAATCTAGTGAATTATGAATATAGAAGAAAATGTGACATTTGAGTGGAAAAGAACATTTTTATCATGAAGAACCTTTTTGTTAAATAATTTTGGTGCAATGCAAAGTTGAGCTGAGAATGAGATGTTTTTAGTTTTATTACTTGCCTAAAGGATGGCTAAGACTGTTAGCAGGACCTTTATTTACTAATCTGAAGAACTGAATTATACTTACAATATTTTCTCTGTGATATTTTTGAGAAAATTTCTAGTGTCATTATTTTGAAGTATGAGGCCTATTGTAAAAGCTTGGTAATACATTAGCTTAAAGCCAAGTGTCTGTGTAATAGTTCATTATACACAGTTCATTGTCCATAGTACCCTATAGACTTGGACCTTAAGATAAACTGTTAATGCCAATTATCTTTCTTGCATGGGTTTCTGTACTGGAAAATGGGACATCAATCTTTATTAAGAGACTTTACATAAATAATGAGAAAATCTATAATGTTATCCTTTGTGTTTTAGAAGTAGTTTCTCTAAGTGGTTTCGAATTCTGGGTGTAACAAGGATGACTTTTAAAAGGACAAATCATTTTGGGAAATGTAGGCTTCAGTTACTTGAATTTTTTAAAATGGTATACTGGCTAAGTGTGTCTATAGTTTCAGCTTTACCATCAAAGAGACTGTTTTAAAATATGACATTATGCAGCTTTTTGAAGTACAAATTATACAAATACAAATTTTCCAAATGTGGCTTCGGGGGCATTTTTGCCATTTGTAATTTTATGGTATTTAATTCCTTATGTTTATGAATTTATAATTTTCTATTACTTCCCATTCATACCTAGTCATTACATAAAAAGTTCCTGAACCCAGTCCCCTTCTGTCTATGAGGAGAGGATGGGGAATTAGTTCAGTATTACATAAGTCTCCTTGGTCAAGGCTTTAACAGTGATGTTTCAAACTGTGTGTACTGATCACCATCTTACTATATACTTCCTAATGTTCAGCATTACAGAGGGCACTGGAAAAACCTTGGTGTTTACTGTATGATCAGTATGTTAGAAGAAAACCCAAGAGAATGTCCGTAAGAAAACTACAAAAGTCACATAATTCATTGTATAAGAAGTCCTAACAACAACAAGCAGATGCCCCAAAAATGCACTGAAAAGATAATTAAAACTTTGTTGTGTGTTATGTGTCTCTACAAGATGACCGATAGCTTAATTAATATACGTTATGTATGCGTGCATCATAGGATCTTGTCATGAAATCATTTGTGTACTATGTATGTGAAATTCTTCCATCTGAAATTATTTGTGCAGACCTCTTAAGAACTATTCTAGTTGAAATGTCTGAGAGCTGTTTGAGTGGAATTTGATGGAGAGGTATGGCAGAGGATCTATAATACACGTTTCAGCGTGGGCTAGGATGATTCAGTTCCTCTGCCCACTGCCTGGCAATCAGCTTCAACATGTATTTTTTGTAGTTGTGCCAGAATTATTAATGTGACAAATACAATTTTAAGTGAAAAAAGCAACAGAAAGCTCTCAAAATACAGTTTACTGTAAATGCAAAAAATGTTTATAACGAGTTTGTAAAAAATATTTTTATTCAAATTTATCAAAATGTTTTATGTAATTTATTAAAAATACTTTATTAATGACAGCATATAACAAAATAAATTTAATGTACAGTATATAACATGAGGGAGTGTATTATTTGCTTTTTATTCCAGTAGGGGTTTTCTATGGTTTAGTTCTATATTAAATCGGAGATCTTGCACCCATCAAGACTGATAAGATGTATTCTAAGAATAAAATACAGCCTGCTATAAACAATGAATGGCAACTTAAATCCAGAATTGTTTTTACAGTAAAACCAGGAAATTATTATAAATACAATATATAATTATTTTGCCCACTAGAACTAATGTTATCAGAAGTAAACTTTAAATTAAGTTTAAAAAGATACATTGCAGTTACTACTGTTTTTTTCACTGTGAACTCAAATAATCAGTACTCATAAAAAAAAATGACAGATACATAACATTCTTAAATATTTGATTTTTAATAACATTAATTCAGTTCTACCCTCTTTGTTCAATTAAACATACTGTATTAGTAGTGTTGAACCACTTTATTTTGAAGTGGTAAAAGTTGGACCATTTACTGATAGGTGCCTCTTGTTGCTCAGGTGTTGTTTTTAGGGTAAATGGCCACTGAAATATCTAAATCATCAAATATGACAGTTTTTTCATCACTCATGCTTTTGTGCGTTTCATTAAGGTTGGGAAATGAATGGAGATTCATTCAACAGTGCTGACTCCGCAAACGTCTGCAATTCAAGACAGCCATTTGTGAAACTACATACTGTACAGTATTTCAGTTCACTACTGTTAGACTAACTTACAAAACTAATTATTGTATACAGCCTATAATGTGTATTTCCACTTTTAGAAGGTACAGATTATGTTGTT